CATTATATCATTCATAATGTTACAGCCTTTTGTTTCAAAAACATTCTTAAATTTCTCTGTTATATTTCTGGTTCTAATCAAGAAATAATGCAATTCTTGAAACTCCCGAACCTGATACGTAAGGTAAAAGAAACTTGGCACGAAATACGATATGAATTTCATATTTACTTCCACCAAATTACTAGGCTAAAGAATGAGCATTCAATGACATAATCTCTCCTAGCTAATTTCATTTGACTTGAGGTTACAACTGTATGGACATGGCGTCAACATTCATATTCAATTTGTAGAAATTGGAGAAAAAAAATACCAATAATATTATGAATGGTAATCACAGTGTATCACAAGGCAACAAGGCAGCGTCCAGACTTCAGTAACCAGAGTAATATGCATAATGTTATGTACATGTATGAACAGGTATTATACAGCTATAACTGTTTCATTGTCCTAGAACAATAAGCTTTCCACAAATGATTAGGGCTGGGACGATACACCAACTGTGCGATCCGATACGTATCACGACACCTTACTCACGATCTGATATGTATCAGGATACATGCCTTTTTTCTGTGGTGCGTAAGCCATCTCTTTCAAAGAGAGGGTGGCCAAATACCTGGCACACTGATTATTTACAGTTGGTAGTGTCAAGTATGGCAGAACAAATGAAAATATGTATGTTTTCACTATTAACTTGTACTACTACTAGTGTTTAGTGGAACAGTTATTAAAGCAAACATTCAGGTCAGAATCGATATTTTTTACTTAGTGTGCAACTGTGATCGATATTTGTATCGAGAGGTAAAAAATCGCGATCCAACGATGCATCAGTGTATCGTCCCACCACTACAAATGATTCACATTGTGCTGGGGAAGTTATATGTCAAAGCAAAGCTTATGATACAGAAGTGTGAACAACATCTTTGTACACAATCCACAGACACAACTTTCCGTTTGTATTGAACGACAACTTCTACAAATAGTCTATAAGAAGGCATCCATAAAGTTAACAGTCAACTCTGGTAGTAATTAGGGCAGTGAACCTCGATAGTCCAGAACCTGTTTATGTGGACCCCACTTTCTGGTTTACTGTTTACCTACAACTTGTTAATCCGGAAACTTGTTTATCGGGACACTGTCTGTGGGAGCTGAACTGGTCTGTATAACCAGTGTTTCACATCTGTTGGGTCTCCATAATTTAAACATACTGAATTCAGTATTTGTTTTGATACTCGTATTTGTGTAATTGTAAACAAATTCAGGTCACACATGTCCAAATGAATATTATCATGCAGGTAGTTACCCCCAAAATGGTACATTCTGACAAACAATACCTAATATTTGTTTCTTTCCGTGTTATGTTTTACGCTGCTGCTAACAATATTCTAGCTGTATGTCCCACATCAAACTGTTGTTCAGTGATCAAAACTCCATAAACTGATAGAAAATACTTTAGTTCCCTCATCATAAACAGCTCCACAGAAATGTCCAAGAATCACTTAATGCTAACAACCGTTCACATGGAGTTCCAAACCAAGAGAAAAATCTCACAAATATAAAACAAATTGGAATCACCTGGATGTGTTCATTGTTAAAAGTTACCATCCAAACTGGTTCGAAATATCCCCTGCACTCGATTGTACCTGAGTTGACTGTATGGTGAGTTCAGGTCTAAGGCAGTACATATCACAACCGTGTCCTGTTAGCTCCCTTAGTCTGGCTACTGAATCTGGACACTGCTACATGGAAAGAGTGAGGGTCTGACGTAATATGGCAGCATAGGCACATTGCAGGCTCAGAATATATTATGAAAAACATTTAAACAACAGTTTTTAAACGGTAACAAAACAAACATACAAAAATATGAAAATCGGAAACTGGTACAATAAATATGAAGCGAATGTGGGCGAAGTGACCAATAACTTATATATATAACTTGAAAGTGACTTGAAAGGAATCACAATGTTTAAAATTCAAAATGGAACATAATATACACAGTGGACAATAAGAATCTCGAACTATTTACATTTAAATAAATAAATTATAAGTAACCCAACAAAAACCCTAAAAGAGTCCCAAAACGGAATGTCCTCTCACCAAATTCTGACTTAGAATAACACAACAACTGCCACAACTTGGGCAATGTCAAACATTCAGAAAACCATGCACACCAGACTTTTACAATGCAAAAGTCAGTCCATAAGAAAATAAGGCACCTTGTAAGAGGATTATCTCCTATAATTTAACTACAATCTGTACAAAGTTCTCAATTCAAAAGGTAGGTTAGACTTGCAATACTGCTTCTGTTGGATATTTCCTCCTTAAGAGGTCCCTGTACATACTGTTTGTAACATGGTTCCTTCTCAAAGGATTGCAAGTCGACCTAACAGATTCATGGATGCTGATTGAAACACTCAAGGCTGTCCTAGTAAGCATCATTATTCAAACTGATGTAGAAAAATAATTATCAGTAAGAATGGTAAGAATTCTGTAGAAACGTTTTCAAACACCTCATACCTTGTCTGTATAGCTAGAAAAATCTAAAACCTAACATTAGTACTACTTCGTAGTAGTGAGTTACTGATAATATGGAGAACAAGGATGGAGCATGTTAGCTAACTGCCTTCCTTAACAGTTGCCATAGTTACAGCACTAAGATCATTTTGTATAATGGGACTACCAAAACACTAATTGGGTCTTGAGATAAACTAAATTAAATAATCATTTCAATTTTTGATTACAATATGCATGAATCTAAAGCCAAAATAAATAATTACAAAATTTGAACATCTTCGTATCATCCATATCACCATCAGATGTAACTTCTGCAATATTTATTTCAGATTATCCTGCAGTACAGGTGTGGAATGAGAAAATGTACATACTACTGAATATGTGCAGTGAGGTGAATTAAGATGAATCTTGGATGATGATGATGATGATGATGTTTTGTTATTGCAAGGTGCCAGGGCCGGCAGCGATGACTTATACCAAGATGAAGATCATGATTGTATTGTACACGGCACACACTCTCTCACGCAATTGTCCACAGTCTCTCCCAGGAAGACTTACAGCCCCATATCATCAGAACCAGCGATCGAGAATCTAGGCAACTGAGGAGGGCAGTGTCAGCTAGGCTACAATGGAAGTGTATCAGACCCGGATGAGGGCATCAGCGCCATCAATACCTTGAGGATTATACCAATGTGAGCTAGGCTACAATGGCAGCGTATCAGACCCAGATGAGGGCATCAGCGCCATCAATACCAATGTGAGCTAGGCTACAATGGAAGTGTATCAGACCCAGATGAGGGCATCAGCGCCATCAATACCTTGAGGATTATACCAATGTCACCTAGGCTACAAGGGAAGTGTATCAGACCCGGATGAGGGCATCAGTGCCATCAATACCTTGAGGATTATACCAATATAAGCTAGGCTACAATGGAAGTGTATCAGACCCCGATGAGGGCATCAGCGCCATCAATACCTTGAGGATTATACCAATATAAGCTAGACTACAATGGAAGTGTATCAGACCTGGTTGAGGGCATCAGCACCATCGACACCTCAGATGGATTGTACCATATGTTCTAGGCTACAATGGAAGCTCGCTTCAAAATTCCATGAACAATGTTTTTATCTAGTCCTACTTTCACCCAAAAAAAATATTGCTCTTTCTAAGTCAAACTTTGCAGGACAAAAATCATATTTAAAACATACACCCTATAAAGCTTATATTTTACATAACTGGAGATAGGAACAGTATACCGTATTCGTCATAATAAGCCCCCGCTCTTATAAGCGCCCACTAGTGAACAATCCCCATTGCACCCCTTCCAATTGATCAATGTACACAAGACATATTTTTTCGTGTAAAATACGCACCCTTTATTATTGGCAATTAAATTCCAGAAAATTATATCTGTTGTATATAAACATTTCAGGCTGTCAGCATAAACCACGAAATTTACGATCTTTCAACTGTTTTTTTTCCGCCAAAATAATATTCTATATTCTATATATTTAAAATTTTGAGAGCGCCCTGGGCGCTTATTACGTCAAATACGGTAATTGTCATTTTCATTGGTTGAACTTGCAATCCGACATATATTGTTGTATACTCAAGTTGATTTGTTACATATAACCTGATGACAAGACTTTTAAATCATTATGACAGTTCGCAAATCAGGTATCCCTTTGATGGGCCATGGTACTGGCCAAATTGACAATACTTTTAACGACAAACATCAATATCTCCTTCTCTAAGACCTTAGCTTCCATCAATGACGAGGATACACAGAGGATAGTGATATGTGTATGAGTGAGTATGGTTTTACGTTGCTTTTAGCAATATTCCAGCAATATCACAGCAGGGGACACCAGAAATGGGTTTCACACATTGTACCCGTGTTGGGAATCGAATGCGGGTCTTCGGCGTGACGAACAAACGCTTTAACCACTAGGCTACCCGACCACCCGATAGTGATGGGAGTTTGGTAGAGTTCCACAATCGACTAACATAATCTGCTATACCTGCAGACCTTGGACTATAGCCAGTGCTAATAATATACATTTTTAATGATGATTGTCAGAAATCGACCTTATCAATAAAATATCCATTACAAAACCATTGATATTCACATTTTGTGATATTCACAAGTTGTAGAAATATCATATTATATATCATATTCTTGACCATGAATGATCATAAGTAAAATTGGTACCGAATGAACAATAGTTGGTTATAGGACTCTGCTATTCAAAAATGCATCAAAAGTACCAGCTTTCAAAACATACAATACTGAGAAGGTCTGTTGTTTCAGACTGCAGTCATGATAGTGAGTGAGTGAGTTGGGTTTAATGCCGCTTTTAACAGTATTCCAGTTATATCACGGCGTGTCAGCTTAATGTGTGAGGAAAGCCCAAAGTGATGCAGGTCTCAGACGTTTACCACTTCGGTGAAACCCACGAGCACGGGTATGGTGCTGACAAACCTAGAAACATGATAGGGGCGAACCGGGATTCGAACCCACAATCATAGGTTTCTGGCGTGCCCAAGGGACGCAACTCTGCACAGCGAATTGCGGCGCCTTAGACGACTGGGCCGCCCGTGCCCCCTGCAGTCATGATAAAATACGACTTTGAAATATGAGCATCTTGACAGATGACAAATGACTGTACATAGTTGGCTCTGTTCACTACTTGTTGATTATCCAAAAAACTGACTGATGATAATGATGGCTTATGGGGAGAAGGGGCATGAACTATACAGTACTGAACATGGACCTGGAGTTTGTCTGCCTGGGACAGATGTGTGGATCATTCAATCTTTCAAACTTGTTTCACTGAGACTCGAGTTGCCGTTTTCCAACTCATGGAAGCCAACATCCTTACTGAAAGGAGTACCATCGACTGACTGAGCAAAGTGAAGTTTCATATGCTTATTGAGCTCATATTTTCGTACAAATTCTTTCCCACAAAGGGAACATGTGTGAGGCTTGGCACCTGAATGGATGCTCTGAATGTGTCGTTTGACGTGATCGCTACGACTGAAGTGCTTGCCACAAATGTTACAAACGTGTGGCTTAGCACCTGTGTGTATCTGCATGTGTCTTTTCAAATGGATATTTTTGGCGAAGGAAACCCCACAGGTTGGGCAAGGGAATGGCTTCTCCCCAGTATGGGTGTGGAGATGGACTCGCAAGACGCAGTAACTGTTGAAATTTTTGCCGCAGAATTCACATGAAAAGGGCCGATCCCCTGAATGAACTCTCATGTGACCCTGCAGATTTGATTTAGTGCTGTATTTCTTAAGACAAAATTCACACGAAAACCCACTCTGGGAGTGTATTTTGATGTGCTTGCTAAGGTTCTTCTTGTCTGAGAAAGACTTGTTACATATGGGACATGTGTGTCCATTAATCAGTGAGCTAAAGTGACTGCTGGAGAAGCCATTATCGCCTTTGGGAGATCCAGTCGAAATGGTAATTGTGTTGTCATTGACATGGAGAAATTCTGGCTTGATTGACATTTCTTCGCAGTCTCGCTTATGTTGGTCCAGCATTTTCTGGTTGTCGAAGATCTCACCGCAGATGGTGCAGATGATGACGAGGTTGCTGCTGCCGCTGCTGCTGCTACTGTTGTTGTTGTTGTTGTTGAGTCCCCCGTTGGACATGGTGAAGCTGTCTTCGGAGGTGGACGTGTCGTCCGGACGAGAGATGGGGCTGGATGTGTCCATGTCTGAAACAAAGGACAACATTACAGATTAGAACAAAATTTACATGGAGCATTTATAATCAATCGCTCAACATCAAGAGGAACTCTGCTCCTATGTTGGATCTCTGTCTAGATGTTGTATTTGGCCAGGTGTGACATATACAGACTATTCCATTGTTACGCATTCAGACAATTCCACTGTTCTACATACAGACTATTTCAGTGCTCTTCATGGACTGGTCTAGCATTCCACCATTCTACAAGCAGACCGTTCCATTGTTGTGACAGTTCAACCATTATACAAGCAGACCGTTCCATTGTTCTACATACTGTTCTAGTGTCCTACATACAGACTGTTCCATTGTTCTACATACAGACTGTTCCATTGTTCTACATACAGACTGTTCTACATACAGATTATTCCATTGTTCTACATACAGACTATTCCATTGTTCTACATACAGATTGTTCCAGTGATCTACATTCAGACTGTTCTAGTGGTCTACATACAGATTATTCCATTGTTCTACATACAGACTGTTCTAGTGATCTACATTCAGATTGTTCAAGTATTCTTCATAAAGACTGTTCTAGTATTCCTCATATATACTGTTCTAGTGTTCTACATACAGACTGTTCTAGTATTCTTCATACAGACTGTTCTAGTATTCTTCATAGACTGTTCTAGTGTTCTACATACAGACTGTTCTAGTATTCCTCATATATACTGTTCTAGTGTTCTACATACAGACTGTTCTAGTATTCTTCATACAGACTGTTCTAGTATTCTTCATACAGACTGTTCTAGTGTTCTTCATACAGACTGTTCTAGTATTCCTCATATATACTGTTCTAGTGTTCTACATACAGACTGTTCTAGTATTCTTCATACAGACTGTTCTAGTGTTCTACATACAGACTGTTCTAGTTTTCTTCATACAGACTGTTCTAGTGTTCTACATACAGACTGTTTTAGTATTCTTCATACAGACTGTTCTAGTATACTTCATACAGACTGTTCTAGTGTTCTACATACAGACTGTCCAACTTTCAGTGTCCTAAATACCAACCATCAAGAGTGAGCGGAAGCTGCAACAACTCCTCTGGCAGGAACTCCTTCAGTTTGTCGAACAACTCTGGGAAGAAGTGCACCACCTGCAAGCAACACACTTGCCATCAAGAGCACAGCAACACTAATGGACTACCCACAGGCCAAACAATCAATACACCTGTAATCAAGTACACAATAATGCCAACGCCCACCCATAAGACAAGACAACTGCCCCCATCCCCCCAGTCAGGAATACTGCCTCCATCCCCCAAGCCAGGACCGCCTCCATCCCCCCAGCCAGGACCGCCTCCATCCCCCCAGCCAAGACCGCCTCCATCCCCCCAGCCAAGACCGCCTCCATCCCCCCAGCCAAGACCGCCTCCATCCCCCCAGCCAGGGCTGCCTCCATCCCCCCAGCCAGGACTGCCTCCATCCATCCAGCCAGGACTACCCCCATGCCCCAAGCCAGGACCACTTCCATCCCCTCATCCAGGACTACCCCAATCCCCCCAGCCAGGACCACCTCCATCCCCCCAGCTAGGACCACTTCCATCCCCTCATCCAGGACTACCTCCATCCCCTCATCCAGGACTACCCCCATTCCCACAGCCAGGACTACCCCCATCCCCCAAGTCAGGACCACTTCCATCCCCTCATCCAGGACTACCTCCACCCCCCCAGCCAGGACCACCTCCATCCCCCCAGCCAGGACCACCTCCATCCCCTCATCCAGGACTACCTCCATCCCCTCATCCAGGACTACCCCCATTCCCCCAGCCAGGACTACCCCCATTCCCCCATCCAGGACTACCCCCATCCAGCCAGCCAGGACTACCCCCATCCCCCAGCCAGGAATACCACTGGTGCTACCCCCATTCCCACAAGCAAGGACGTACCAGTGGTGCAGATTGCTGCCTGTCCTCCCCACAATGGTCCACCCACGTCTGTATGGCATCAAGCACCTGCTTGTCAGACAGCACCTCCCCCTGGAGAGACTTGAGAGTCTGCAGTAGAGTGTACACCGCTAGGTCCAGGAAAGTCTCCTCTGCCAGAATCTGTAACAATAAACACAGATGAATTGGGGGGGATGAGTACTATGTCAGCAATTTTACCACAATATCCCCACATCAAGGGTTCCTTGTCATAATCCAAATGAAAAAGGTAACGGTCCTTGGAAGACTAATTCCCAGGTTGCAAAAGTTTTATTTTATCAGCGAGGCATGAGTTGAAGGCATAAAATAGATGAAAACAGCAGACCATTCACGCAATAGCTGTCACCAATAGTGTCACATTAGTTTCGTATTTCTGTTTATTGTTTGTAAAATCAGTACGTATCTTAGTATAATTCCATGAAATTCTTAGAACTACGACTGTTTTAAGTTGGTTTTATAGTGCTACCCCAGTAAGATACCATGCAGCAGTTTTAACATGAAAACCCTTCTCAGAAACAGTATGTTGACTACAAAAGGCAACCAGTCCTTGTTTTATCCCCTTATTTGGAAGTGCCATACAGGGAAATGACAAGTATCTTTGCGATGATGCAGCCAAGGGATCAAACACTGATTTTCTACTCTCTGGACAGATGCGTTATCCACTATGTAACGGAGACAGCCCTGAAATGGGGTAGCCTAGTGGACAAAGTGCTCATGATGCTAACGTCCAAGTTTGATTCCCCATATAAATGTTTAAAACCCATTTGCAGTGTCCCCCACTGTGATATTGCTGGAAGTTTGCAAAGTTTGCAAACCGGTTAAATTCAGATATTGTTCTTAAATGGTACCTTTTGAAAGTTGTCTTTAATGAAGGCTACACTATCTTCCTGCAGGGTCTTACAGTCGCACTGAGTGGCCACCTGATAGGTCACAAGGCATGTGTCGGGACGGAGCTGGGACAACAGAAAGTCACAGCACAAGTTACTAATCTCATCCAGCTGAAACATGAAGGCCGTTGGCAGCAACGTCAACACATTCTCCTCCGTAACAGATATGGCCGACGTGTAACAGAATTCAATAATACTTTGAGCGGCGTCAGGATCCACATCAGTCAGGTGGTATTCGGCTGGAGCTTCCCGCGGGTTGTGCTCCAGCAGGTTGTGAAAGTAAGGCATGCATGCCGACAGGATGAGGCGATGAGCAGGGATGCGGCGGGTGCCGACGTTGAGGAGGACGTCACATAGTTCTGTTTTTCTTCGGAGTTGGTTGATGGATCCTATTAGACAGTCGGCATGGTTGACAGAGGTATAGTGTAGCGAGCTCTCCATTCTGGCAGGGGGAGGTAGATCTGTCTGTAGGTGTGACAGGAAACCATGGAGTCCTGTAAATAAACACAGCAGTGTGAGTTCGTGTTCCACAGTATTTCTTTGTTTGTTGCTTAACGCCACACACAGCAATATTCCAGCTATATGATAAAATCAGTTGCTTTCCCAAAAAAAGTCTCAAGTATTCATGTTCTTCCAAATTCTTAATACCTATCAAAGACTTTTTATGATGGCGACCTGTAAATAATCGAATCTGGACTAGACAATCCAATGATTTATTATTAGAATGACCATCAAACAAGTCACCAAACCTAACCACCTGATCCATCGCTTCTTACGACCATAGGGACCAATACTAACCCCTCTTTCGACCAGCATAGATTAGTAGGGACCAATATGAACCCCTCTTTCGACCAGCATTGATTAGTAGGGACCAATATGAACCCCTTTTGTGACCAGCATAGATTAGTAAGGACCAATACCAACACCATTTACGACCAGCATAGATTAGTAAGGACCAATACTAACACCTTTTACGACCAGCATAGATTAGTAAGGACCAATACTAACCCATTCTGCGACCAGCATAGATTAGTAGGGACCAATACTAACCTCTTTTACGACCAGCATAGATTAGTAGGGACCAATACTAAGGCCTTTTGCGACCAGCATAGATTAGTAGGGACCAATACTAAGGCCTTTTGTGACCAGCATAGATTAGTAGGGACCAATACTAAAGCCTTTTGCGACCAGCGTAGGGTACTATTCTAACCTCACTTGCGAGCAGCATAGGTTCCTTGGGACCTATTCTTATCTGGGATCACAAGGTTAAGTCTTAACCGCTTGTGTGAGCTAGGTATGGGAGAAAGCACATTGATGCAGGTCACAAGATGTTTATCACTAGAGGAAATCCCTGAGCACACCCGATCCATTGAGAATGCATGCATCCTGTACATTGTCATGTATGTATGTGTGATATACACATATTGTGTTGGGCCATGGACGCTGTATAAACCAAGTTATCACACCAATGTCATACCATGATACACCCATGCTGCAAATACAACAAGTTGTCCGTTCCTTAGCAACGAGGAATGAGTATTGACAGTTATATTGTACTGTGAAAAACTGATGTAATGGATTTTCTAAGACTGTGACTGCCTCATCAGCGTTAGAAACTAACAGTTTTTTTACACTAGTCCTTATAATAATAACATATAGCAAAACGTGTAAGAAGGGCAAATTTCTACTAGTCCTTATGATACCTTAACTATTGGGCAGTTTGGCAAGGGCTATACGACTATAGGGCCATCAATTCTCACTGATACAAGCCTACTATTAGCAACTTTGAACATCATCAGTTATCACTTAACCTTTCAAAACCAAAACAGGAAATTGTGTACAAGATTTGCCTTTCAGAATCATCTTCGACACAGGGAAGGATACAAGGCCTTTCAACATGTTCAAGCCTCAATAAGAATTAAGCTAGTTTCAAGCATCTCTCCTGCTGCAAAACAGTGAATGACTCATTTTCCCCCAAAATCTCAATTTTTCTTCACATGCAGTGCTAGGCAATGAACCAAACGAATGACACAGAAACAATAAGATAGTTTCTCAAACTTAAAATGGATATGTAACCAAAAACATCCCACTGCCAATACGACCTACCCACCAACATGTGAAACTATGGTTGTTTTGATGGATATAGATTGTGAAGGGAGAATAATTACAGAAGCTTATCTGGCCAACAAGGATGGACACTCTAGTAGGTCCTGTAATCCTACATAGATGTTTAGGACGGGTAACTCAGGTTGTATGGGTACTGAGTAGGACCTGTCTATCCACACAACCATCTGGATCCATGGTTTGTCATGTGATATATTGTTAAATGACAATGACAATAAAACTCAATGGTTATGCTACCAGTCGCTAATGTTCACATTTCTCTCTATGTAGGCATTCCTTCTGAGTTTAATATGCTTGAGCACAGATTAATCTTCTGTCAACTACGGTGTATGCATGATCAGATTGTTTTATACATGTATCTAAATAGTTTTTGCCAGGGCTCAAAACAATGCCCAATTGGACAATTTGTACCTATCTCTTGCGACCTTCAGAGGGTACAATGTATCATGTGAAGGAGTTGTTACCATCACCAAAGGGAATGACTTAAATCTGAAACCAAAATATGTAGCAAATCAGAGTGAGTTAATCTAACAATGGTTTGAGAACTCTTAATCTTATAATATCCATTCTCTCAGTTGTTATATCAGTCCATTTCATACCACATAGCATGCCCCCTTCATAGATTTTTAGGCAGCAACATCTGACTTGATGACAGTGCCATGATAAAAGAACCCATTCCTCAACAACAACAACAACAACAACAACAACAACAACAGTAAAAATTTCAAAATTATGTTGTGATGGCTTTTTAGACGTCACTTGTACTGCACAGATAACAGGGACCAACAATCACTTTAATGAAATAGAGGCTTTAATGCATAGTTTCAAATTTATTGAAGTGTTAATGTTAAAATACCTCTGAATTTAAGAAATTTCATATTTATAAAAAACAATTACAATTTTGAACAAACTAAACATATTTTGCCAATTTGTCCAAGGGCACTTAGTTTGGAATCCAAGACAAATCTCTGCCAATATTATGAGTTAATCACAAGATTACCGTAACAAGGCACTACTGTCGTGTCGTACCATCAACTTTTGTCCCAATCACTGTATAGTTGTTTTCATAACGCAGTAGACACACTAACCCACAACAACCTCAATATGAGACTATTATAACAGCCCCAGTTAATTGTGGTCGGCACAGTATGTATTAACAGTGATTAATGTATCACGCTGAAGTAGCTATGTTACATCATGGGTGGCTACAAGGGGGAAGACTTAACACCAGTCTATGGTGGGGACGAGCCTGCAGCAATGTGTCTCATGATGGAACCACCCCGGGGCATCCCCATAGATCCCTGCCCTGGGCTGCTCACAGACCTGCCATGGCCAGACCCTACTGTAGGCTTTGAAGTTTCAGCCCTGCTTGGTTTAACACTTGTGGTATACACTGGTATAGCTAATAAAAAACTAACTGTGTCAATGATTTGTGTTTGCGACTCCAGTCGGTAATGGCAATCAGTTTGGAATCAGTTTTTAGACTTCCTCAAGCTTCAGTGATTTTGCATGAGAGAAAAACATAGGGATGTTTCAGAACATTTCATTGACTTTATTTATTTCTGAATGGACATTCTTTTTTATCATTACCATGTTTAACATTTTATAACCAAATTGCAAAAAGCCTTTATGGATCCTTCTGAAAGCCAAACCCAGACAGACCGCCTCTGTGGTCTAGTGGTGAGGTGAGGTGAGGTGAAATAGGGTTTAACGTCGCGTCCAAGATTATTGCACTTATATAGCGACGTCCATGTACGTGTGTGTGTTTTTGTGTGGCTGCTTGTACTAGTCCGGACTGATTTATAGTGCTAGCTCACTGAGATACCATGCCGCAGTTTAACATGAATACCCAACTCAGACACAGTATACTGACTCCGAGCCGACCAGTCCTTGTTTTAGCCCCTTAATGCCGAGCGCCAGACAGGGTAACAACAAGTACCATCTTTTAAAGTCTTTTGGTATGACGCGGTCGGGGATCGAACCCCGGACCTTCCTCTCTCTGGGCGGACGCTCTACCATTAGACCACGGAGGCGGTCCCTGGTCTAGTGGTAGTACCAAAAGACGTTAAAAGATGGTACTTGTTGTTACCCCGTCTGGCTTGGAGTCAGTAATGATCTTGGACGCAACGTTAAACCCAATTTCACCTCACTTCACCCAAACCAAGACATCATGTTTCATATTATATGTCATAACTGAACCATTGCGTGAATTCCTTTACTTCTAACTTTTCTGCAAACTTTTCATTGTGAAAAATGTTTTTAAGTGTTTGAGGCACCCCACACCAATTGAACCTGCAGCCTCTGTTGTCTGCCCACCATCATCTCCACACCATCATCCTATAACGAACGTAATGAGGATGTAGCAAGCATGACTCATCTTAAGATCTATCCATGTTTATGTGCAGAACAGATGGTCTACTTTCTATTACTTCTCACAAGAGAAAATTGCTTAGGGATTCTAATGTCCTCTGTACTCAACATGTTTAATGCATGGATAACCACAGAGGAAGAATTGAGGTGAGGTGAAATGGGGTTTAACTTTGCGTTCATGATTATGGCACTTATATAGAGACAGGCACATATATATGTGCATGTGTGTGCGTGTACGTGCTTGCGTGCGTGTGTGTGAGTGCATCTGTATGTGTGTGCATATTATAGTCAATCTTTATATATGCCTGAGTAAGGGGAGGTGAAATGGGGTTTAACTTTGCGTTCATGATTATGGCACTTATATAGAACAGGCACATATATGTGCATGTGTGTGTGTGCCAGTGCATCTGTATGTGTGTACATATTATAGTCAATCTTTATATATGGCTGAGTAAGGGGAGGTGAAATGTGGTTTAACGTTGCGTTCACGATTATTGCACCTGTATAGCTATGTATGTGTGTGTCTGCGCCATACTAGTTTTATAGTGCTAGCCCACTGACATACCATGCTGCAGCTTGACATGGATACCCCACTCAAACACAGTGTATTGACTCTGAGCTGACCAGTCCTCGTTCTAGCCCCTTGATGCTGAGCGCCAGGCAGGGTAACAACAAGTACATCTTTTATAAGTGTTTTTGTCAGATGCGGCGTCCATCCACTAAATCACAGAGGCCGCCATTCAGGAAAACCACCACTCAGCTGTAGCTATGTGTAACCTGGCCAATCACTGAACCCATATGTAACCTGGCCAATCACTGTACCCATATGTACACTAGCCAATCAATGTATCCACATCTAACCTAGTCAATCACTGTACCTACATGTATACTAGCCAATCACTGTACCCACATGTAAACTAGCCAATCACTGTACCCACATGTAACCTAGTCAATCACTGTAACCACATGTAAACTAGCCAATCACTGTACCCATATGTAA